AAACTTACAGATAAAGAGTGAACAAAATCGGCAAGGACGTGAATGGGAAATAAACAGCATACACGGCACGCCCGCGGAGCTGCCGCACGGCTGGACGGAAGGGAGTGGCCGCTCCGTCTGTCCTGGAGGACCGCGCTGCTGTCGGTTCCGCACGGAGCCGACAACTGACGCCCGCACAGGGACGAGCTGTGCCGAGAGGCCCAAGTCTGGGCTCTGGGTTTGGTTACCTGTTGTCTTCGTTTTTCCTCTTCAGCGGCAGCTTTGGCTTCTGCTTCTTTTATCTGTTCATAGACATTTAAAAGTCAATGAACAATTTAAGCATCCAGTTCTTTTTTAAAAAGAATTATATTTATTTACTTACTTTAATTTGACCAGAGAGGGACAGAGAAAGAGAGAGAGAGAGAAAACAAGCTGCCTGGTCCAGTACTTGAACCATAGTCAGCCATGTGGGAGTCCAACATCCTTAACTACCACACCACCTGTAGGCCCCAAGCACCCAGTTTTATAAATAACCACTAACCCACAGCAACTTTTTGAGAGCTTTACATTGGAAATCACTTTTTAAAATGTCAGTTATGCTGAGAAACATCACCCAGCTCTACCAGATCAGGAGGTGGGGTGGGGGGTGGGGGGCGCTGCACCTCACGTCAACCTGTCTGCTCGGCCGCTGCGGCGGACGGGAGGTCACACTTCAGACAGTACCACCAGACACTGATGGGCCTTAAAAAGCGGGTTTTCTTGCAGAGTTACCGCAGTAAGAACCTAGAGCTCATCATTAAAGACCCTGTGGTCCTAGCACGGAAACTGACCGTTTGTTTGAAAGCCTTATCAGGAAGGGGTCCTTACTTTCAATCCAAATCAAGTGTGGACTCACTGACTGGGACCGGCAGGCAGGAAAGGAACATTAGCGATAACCCAAGCAGCAAAGGACATCGAGATCTTGTCTTCACAATTATTTTAGCCTGACTTTCAGGAACTTAGGTTAACATTAAAACAAACACTGTCCCCCTGAAAAAGTTGCACGGGCTGTCGGCACAGAGGGCGGAGAGCTTAGGAACTCAGCAGGCAGGAAAAGGCAAGCCTGGGGCTCAGAGAGGCTACCCTAGACAGCAGAGAGCTGCACCCTGAGCATTCTGTAAAAGCGCACGAACGCCGAGCAGCACAGGGACCACATGGGGCAGGGCAGCCACGTACCTCGGACGCCTTCCGCTTCAGCTCCTTGCACGTGGCGTCGCAGTCCACCGAGACTTGGTTCTCGCGTGCTCTGTGGCACTGCAGCTCCTGCAGGGAATCCAGACGCCCAGTGTAAGTTCTCTCTCCTGCAAAGCCCTCACTGCGTGCCAGGGACAGCAAACTTGTCTCCCAGTGTGGGGTGCTAGGGATCACTGAACGGCCACACTCAGTCACAGCCGATGACAGGGCTGCAATTAAATATCCTGCTCCCGGATGTTCTCATAATTAGCAAAGTGAGTAAGTACCAAACTATTAAAATAGGCATTTAACAAGTATTTGCCAAGTGCCACTGTCGACCCCGCTCTGAGTTGACAGAGTAACTCCTCTGCTGTTTCCTACTGTCCTTTACAAGCTCCACAGGACACCGTGCAGGGCAGCGCTGCCCACAGAGGGTCGGGGACGACGGGATGTCCGCGATCCGCACTCTCCCACGGAGTGGCACCGACCTACCCGGCTACGGAGCGCCTGAGAGGGGCTAGCGAGCCTGAGAACCCGATTCTTAGTGTTACTTCATGTTAGACATTAATATTCACACCGAGAGCCTAGCGGCTTCCACCTCCGTGCAGCTCTGCAGCTTTCTGGAGAGCAACGAATTTGTCTCTCAACTATTAAAGTTCCTTTTTAAAAAAAAGTTTAGATGAAACTGTTTTAAAGCTTAACGTTTGTACTTCATGGCCTCCTCTGTGCAATAATGAGCACTAATCCACGCTGCTCTCAATAGCTTGACATCCAGACTGTGGTCACCCCGCACACCGTCACCCGCGCACCGCCGTCACCGCACACCGTCATCACCGCACACCATCACCGCACACCGCTGTCACCCCACACCACTGTCACCACACCCCGCCAACACCGCACACCATCACCGCACACTGCTGTCACCACACACCGCCGTCACCGCACACGGCCGTCACTCCACGCACCACCATTATCGTGCACATGGCCGTCACCCCACGCACCGCCGTCACCCCGCACACCGTCACCGCACACCGTCACCCGCGCACCATCACCCCGCACACCACCGTCACTCCACGCACTGCCATTATCGTGCACATGGCCGTCACCCCGCGCACCGCCGTCACTCCGCATGGTCCTATCACACGTGGTGACCGCAGAGCGGGAGCGGCCTCAGGGTGGCCGGCCTGCCCTCGCTGGCCAGCCCTCTATTCTCTGCCTGTTTCGGCGCCAGCGTCACTTCTGCTCCACGTGGACCTGTTGGTATCAGTTTCTTCTTTCTTACCACATCGTCAGACTCCAGTTTGAAGTTCAAATTTGCCAGTTTAGAAGAGAGATCGCACACCCTACTAGTGAAGTGCATACACCTGGACGGGATTGTAGGGCTCAGAGGGGCTCTTTCCCCATCAGTTTTTCATTTTTAGCTAAAGTTGCTGATCAAGATAGCCTTGTCCTCAAAGGACAGTCCCGAGAGAGGAAAAATAATTCCAACAAACACCAGGGACAAGAATAAGTATGCTATTTTACAGACAGCAGATCTATCAGCTGGAAGGAGGATGTGCCCCTTCTCGCTCACAGGCACATACGGAGTGCCTGTTCCATGCCCAGGCTGTGACGGGGAGGGCGGCACCGAAGGGCAAGAGTACACTAAAAAAAAAAAAGAGTATACTAGCGCTAGGGGCCACCTGGTAAGAGCAGGAGTGCAGTCGGCACGCTAAGGAAGCAGGCAGGGCGCCGAATGCTTGCAAGCACCACCTCTTTGCTTCCTTCTGTAAACCCAGGGATAAGCTCTCACGGGGAGGAACCAAGGCGACAGCCGTGCAGCGAGCTACGAACGGGGTCCGAGGAAGGCCGGCAGGAAGGAGCCTGAGTCTGCCTGGGTGGTGGGGAGCCCTGCACAGGAGGAAGCACCTGCACTGGGACTGCAGGTCCTGGGCACCCAGGTGGAGGGGGCACCTGCAGCTCCTCACAGAAGGAGCAGGCGGGGGCCTGACCTGGCAGGCCGGCGGTGCCAGGCACCATGGGATGGACTCAGACGAGGACTCGAGGGCGCACAGTACACACCTTCCTAGAAAACAGACTTTTCCAGAAGGGGTAAGAGCCACTGAAGAACTGAGAGCAGAACAGAGCAGGACGAGAAGCGGGGGGGCAGCTGTGGCATTCCGGCAAAGCCCGGACACAGCCGTGTCGCAGGGCCGGGCGCTGAGTCTTCCCGGCGCCGCGTTTTTATTGGAAGGGCGCATCCACATCGGGCATTTTCATCCTCCTTTTCCTCCCCTGTCCTTCCTGAGCTAGCTGGGTTCTCCTTGACCTCATCGCAGATGGCTGACTCCAACGTGAAGACTGAGATGTCCGTCATTTTCCGATGCCCAAATCAACAACCGCCCAAACACGTCAGGGTGCAGTAGTCGGGTACGACACAGCAGCCCCGAGGGGGCAGGCCCGCAGGGATCCTGCCCGGGTCACCTTCATCACCCAACCATAGGCCACTTGCCCTTAAAGCCCAATAAAACAGGTGGCGTGGTGGTTAATGTGCTGGACATGGCCAACCACAGCTCATGTCCTGGCCTGGTGGCTTGTTTTCTCACTTTCTCTCTCTCTCTGTATGTGTCGCTCTCTGGTCAAATTAAAAATAAGTGAATGAGGGACCGGCAGGTGGCGTGGTGGTT